GAAAGGAAGGAAATAATAAAGATTAGAGTAGAAATAAATTATATAGAAACCAAAAAACAATAGGACAGATTAATGAAACCAGCAACTGGTTCTTTGAAAAGATCAATAAATTGACAAACTTCTAGTCAGTCTCAGGAAAAGAAAAAGAGAGAGGAGAAACAACACATCACAAATGAGAGAGGAAAAATAACAACCAACCAAATAACAACCAACACCACAGAAATACAAACGGTTAGAAGAGAATATTATGAAAAACTCTACACCAATAAATTGGACAACCTAGAAGAAATGGATGAATTCCTAGAAACATATAATCTACCAAAACTGAAATAAGAAGAAATAGAAAATCTGACGAGACCAATAACCAGCCAAGAAATTTAATCAGTAATAAAAAACTCCCAACAAACAAAAGTCCAGGACCAGATGGCTTCACAGGCAAATTCTACCAAACATTTAAAGAATTGATATCTATTCTCTCAAACTACTCCAAAAAATAGAAGAGGAAGGAAAACTTCCAAATTCATTCTATGAGGCCGGTATCATCCTGATACCAAAGCAAGATAAAGACGCCACAAAATAAAGAGAACTACAGGCCAATATCTCTGATGACTATAAATGCAAAAATCCTCAACAAAATATTAGCAAATTAAATCCAACAATTCATTAAAATAATCATTCACCATGATCAAGTGGGATTTATTCCCAGGAATGCAAGCATGGTTCAATTTTCACAAATCAATCAATATGATACGAGAAAGGATAAGAACCATAAGATCATTTCAATAGATACAGAAAAAGCATTTGACAAATACAACATCCATTCATGATAAAAACCCTCAACAAAAGTCTAGAGGGAACATACCTCAACATAGGTCTTATCTGGAAAACCCACAGCTAACATCATACCTAATGGGGGAAAACTGAGAGCTTTTCTCCTAAGCTCAAGAATAACACATGAATGTCAACTCTCACCACTTTTATTCAACATAGTACTGGAAGTCCTAGCCACAGCAAATAGACAACAAAAAGAAATAAAAGGCATCCAAACTGGTAAGGAAGAAGCAAACTTTTACTATTTGCAGATGACATGACACTATATATAGAAAATCCTAGGGGGCGCCTGGGTGGCTCAGTCGTTAAGTGTCTGCCTTCCACTCAGGTCATGGTCCCGGGGTCCTGGGATCAAGCCCCGCATCAGGCTCCCTACTCTGTGGGGAGCCTGCTTCCCCCTCTCCCACTCCCCCTGTTTGTGTTCCCTCTCTCACTGTGTCTCTCTCTGTCAAATAAATAAATAAAATACTAAAAAAAAAAAATTAAAAAAAAAAGGAAATCCTAAAGACTTCACCAAAAAGCAACTAAAACTGATAAATGAATTTGGTAAAGCCACAGGATACAAAATCAACATACAGAAATCTGTTGCATTTCTATATACTAATAAAAGCAACAGAAAGAGAAATTAAGAAAATAATTCCATTTACAACTGCATTAAAAACAGTAAAATACCTAGGAATAAACTTACCACAGAGGTGAAAGACTTGTACTCTGAAAACTATAAAACACTGATGAAACTGAAGACAACACAAAGAAATGAAAAGACATTCCATGTTCATGGATTGGAAGAACAAATAGTTAAAATGTCCATACTACCCAAAGCAATCTACAGGTTTAACGTAACCCCTATCAAAATACCAACAGCATTTTTCAGAGAACTACAACAAACAATCCTAAAATTTGTATGGGCCCACAAAAGACTGTGAGGAGCCAAAGCAATTGAAAAAGAAAAGGAAAACTGGAGGCATCACAATTCCAGACTTCAAGGTTTATTACAAAGCTGTAGTGATCAAAACAGTTGGTACTAGCACAAAAACAGACACATAGATCAATGGAACAGAAGAGAAAACCCAGAAATAAACCCATAATTATATGGGCAATTTATCTTTGGCAAAGCAGGAAACAAGATGCAATGGGAAAAAGACAGTCTCTTCAACAAATGGTGTTGGGAAAAGTGGACAGCAACATGCAAAAGAATGAAACTGGACCACTTTCTTTCATCATACACAAAAATAAACTCAAAATGGATTAGAGACCTAAATGTGAGACCTGAAACCATAAAAATCCTAGAAGAGAGCACAGACAGTAATTTCTCTGACATCGGCCATAGCAACATTTCTCTAGATGTTTCCTGAGGCAAGGGAAACAAAAGCAAAAATAAACTATTGGGACTACATCAAAATGAAAAGCTTTTGCAGAGCAAAGAAAACAATCAACAAAGCTAAAAGGTAACCTACAGAATGGGAGAAGATACTTGCAAATAATGTATCTGATAAAGCATTAGTATCCAAAATATAAAAAGAACTGATACAACTCAACACCCAAAAACCAAATAACCCAATTAAAAAATGAGCAAAAGAAATAAACAGATATTTCTCCAAAGAAAACATACAGATGGCCAACAGACACATTGAAAGATGTTCAACATCACTTATCATCAGGAAAAGCAAATCAAAACCACAATGACATATCACCTCACACCTGTCAGAATGGCTAAAATCAACAACACAAGAAACAACAAGCGTTAGTGAGGATGTGGAGAAAAGGGAACTCACGCACACTGTTGGTAGGAATGCACGCTGGTGCAGCCACTGTGGAAAACAGTATGGAGGTTCCTCAAAAAATTAAAAATGGAGAGTACACAGACCATCACCTTGAGGGAAGTGTGCTCAGGACTCATTCTGATCTTCCCTAAATATCTATGTTATGAAGAAGCTCAGGTACTCACAGAATGAATATATCTTCATAAAATGACTCCAGAATCTCAAGACCATTACATATCAACAAGTAGGACTCACCTTTAAGATAATAAGAATCACTGAAGAACTTAACTAGGACTTTCCAACTACTGAGGACCTGTTAATTAGCACCTCCCACATAACCTAAGCTGGATCCTCCAGAGGAAAAGCCATGAGATTACATAGTGAGAAGGTAGGCATCTGCAAATCAGGAAGAGGCTTTCATCAGAAACAGAATTTACCAGCACCTTGATTGTATACTTCTAGGCTCCAGAACTGTGAGAAAATAAATGTCTGTTATTTAAGCCACTCAAAATAAATAAATAAAAATGGAACTACCCCATGATCCAGTAATCGCACTACTGGGTATTTACTCAAAGAATGCAAGAACGCTCATTCAAAGGGATACATGCATCCCTATGTTTATAGCATTATTTCCAATAGCCAAACTATGGAAGCAGCCTAAGTGTCCATCGATTGATGAATGGATAAAGAAGATGTGGTGTGCACACCCATGCGCGCATGCAAACACACACACACACACACACAGAGGAATATTATTCAGCCATAAAAAAGAATGAAATCTTGCCATTTGCCATGACATGGATGGAGCTAGAGAGTATTACGCTACGTGAAGTAAGTCAGTCAGAGAAAGACAAATACCATAGGATTTCGTTCATATGTGGAATTTAAGAAACAAAACAAATGAGCAAAGGAAAAAAAAAAAAGAGAGAGAGGGAGACAAACCAAGAAACAGACTCTTAACTACAGAGAACAAACTGATGGTCACCAGAAGGGAGTGGGTGGGAGTGGGTTAAACAGGTGATGAGGATTAAAGAGTCCACTTATCATGATGAGCTCTGAGTCATGTAGAAAATGGTTGAATCACTATATTGTATACCTGAAACTCATATAACACTATATGTTAACTGTTAAGGAGTTGAAATTAAAAACTTATAAGAAAAAAAAGAAGACCATGTATTCCTGATAAATCCATAGCAGTTTATCATTAATTTTGAACAAGACTCTCTAGTTATCATATTCATATCACATTCATTCTACAACACCTTTCCCTACATATTATATATTGTTTTACTTATATACAAGTGCCCTGGGGATCAAATTTGTATAATTTTGTAGTTGGCTTTCTGTTGTTAAGATTGGCAGACTATTTCATTATTTCTGCCAAATCCATGTCACTTCCCAGTTCCTGGTGGCAGCAATACCCGGAGGCCGGGGCACCTTTTAAGTGGGACATCAGACAGCTAGTTGAGAACTACCTCAACTCACCAAAAATGATAAATGACAGCAATGGCTTCTCGTGATTTGCTTACAAGGTATTTAATTAGTCCTGACACCCCATAATGAGAATTGTGAAAAAAATTATTATAATTGTCACAACATTATAAAAATCCATGAGATACATATGTACAATGAGGTTTATTACCACTTTTTGAAACTCCTTCCTGGGGCACTTGGGTGGCTCAGTTGGTTGAGCGGCTGCCTTCGGCTCAGGTCATGATCCTGGAGTCCCAGGATCAAGTCCCACATCGGGCTCCCTGCTCAGCAGGGAGTCTGCTTCTCCCTCTGACCCTACCACCTCTCATGCTCTCTATCTCATTGTCTCTCAAATAAATAAATAAAATCTTAAAAAAATAAAAATAAAAATGAAACTCCTTCCTGTCCACTTCTCTTTTCACCTAATATCTCCCTTCCTGCATCCTAGGGCTGCTTCTCCCTATCCACTCGCTCACTATCAACTTGATTCGCACCCCCAACCAGTCCTGGGGTCAGTTTCCATCCTAGATGTAAAGCCACTGGGTCACCTTCCCCAGCTCCTCCTCTCCCACAGCCAAGAGTAAGAAAGGACTATTGTGTTTCCTACCAACGGTAAGTCACATTGCTACCCTCTAGTGCCTTGGATAATTGAGAATTGACTGCCTCATCACCTAATGTTCTCCTCTTTCAAATGCCTTATTACCTTCCATTTCAACCAAGGACCCAGCTAAGAAACAATCCATCAGTGCTCATTTGGCCTGGCATCAATAGGACAGGAATCTCTCCTACAAGACCTCCTAGAACTGCATCCTCCTCACGACAAACTTCAGAAAGCAACTATGAACTCTCGTGCCCAGCTGACTCTGAAGGACAGTCCCCCACATCCTGTGCTTAGCATTTTCTGGGAGGCAATGAGACTTCACCTCCACCTACCAGCCGTCTGGAACCCAATGATGGCCGGCACGGAGCGCGCAGGGGGGGCGATGGAAACGCTCACGGTGTAGTTGGTGCCTTGGTACAGATCTAGGCACACTTCTGGGGTCCTGCTGTCTGTGGTCACGTTGACTGTCTCCTCGTGAACTGATCCCACAGGGTGCAACCGTTGTCCTTTTATGTATATCTTTGGGAGGGAAAAAGAAAAAAGAACCCGCTGTGACTCTGGTGAAAACAACTGAGAGACTTGGTGGAGCGGAATCCCATTCTCCTACTATTCCTTTGACACCACACTGTGCACGCAGAGGAAATGAACAAGGTCAGCCTCTGCTATCAGGTATCTGGTGCTGAAGTCTGATCAGCCCAGTAACCAATAAACCCTAAGAAGTGACATAAAATGAGGAGTCCCTCTAGGGAGGCCTAAGCTGCACACAAAGGACCAGCCTTCCGTGGAGGCAGTCACAACCTGTCCCCGAGGCAGCAGATGTTTCCAGGCCTCCTCTGGGGGAGTGAGATAAAAGTGCTGGGGAACAAGCGATCATGATGATGCCACATATAAACAATATATCCCCCACACATACCCCCTGCCGAATGACACATATATTAATGACACATTTAATGACACATAAATTAAATAAATGACACATTTATTAAAAATAAATAAAATATTTATTTTATTTTACAGAATGTAAAATAAAATAAACCAGGTATCTTAAAAAAAAATCTGATCACTTTTTAGAAGAACAATCAGACAATGAGATGGAGAAGCCCTCATGAAAGGAAGTCTCTCCAAGTCATGTTCCTAGCAGGAAAAAGTGGATCATTTCACTTACCACGTAAACAATCTTGGAGATGATCCTTCCTGGATTTATCTGCCACCTCACACAGGTATTATTAAACACTGATACATCACTAATTTCTGTAATTATTTCTAAAATAGAAAAAGAGAGAGTCCACTCACAAAATGCATCAATGGCCTCTGGCATGACTCAGTTTCTCTGTGCAGCTCATATCTCTGCTAATCACCATTCATGCTCTGATTCAGAAAGCAAATCAGGCAATTCAAGCTGCCCCAGGCCAATCACCCCATTTCTCTTCATCAAGAATGAGCCTGGCCTATTACCTGACTTGGAGGAAAAGAAAAGATAGACACCTGCTTGAGAATGGCTAAGAACTCCAACCTGTGATTGGCCTGGCAGGCCACTGGATGCCACCGGCGTTCCATTCCTGCGGGATAGAGAGCCCAGAGCTGTGCCCTGAATCTCCCCTGCAGCTGCCCAGGGAAGATGTGTTTCCGGCTTTGTACCACCTGGCTGACAGAACACTCTTTATTTCCCGGTCACTGCTGTTCCCAAGAGGGAAATGACACGTATCCCCACATGGGACCATTCCTCAGGAGCAGCTTGGAGTAAACTAAATAAATTCTCCATAAGGTCCCTGGATATTTCTGGGGCTTCTCTAACTGAAGCTATTTAATTCTGATTTATCAGAAAACCACTTATTTCTTCAAGTTGTCCTGCTTCTTTTAAATATTCTGTGTGTATTTCATGTAATAAATTTGGCAATATGGGAAACCTTGGTTCTGAGGTCACAATTTCCAATGGACTGTATTGGCTCTCTTTCCTCCCCTGCTTTACTCACTGTACCCCTCACCCCTGCTTCCGGGGATATCATTCCCCATTGTGTAATAAATGTAAGCCCTGAGCCTCAAGCTCTGCTTTCTGGGAAACCCAAGGTAAGACTCCCATCAAGAAGGGTGGGAAAGTTAATTCTCCATCTCAGAAGATGCCTCCTCTCAACTCAGCCCCCTCTCTCCCTTCTCGGCCTCCAACGTGGGAAAGAGAGCCTGCACATCGGGCACCTGTAGGACTGACTCATTTCCCCTGTACCTGGAACCAGTGCTACCTTTAGATAGGCCCTGGTCTACTGATGATCTCTTTGCCATACAAGATTTTACATCTTTATTAAATCATCCATCAGCAGCATTATTGGGTCTTGGGTAAGCCCAGGTCAGGCTGTCAGTAAGTGAGAATAAATACAGGCAGACAGAGGAAAACAGACAAGTTCCTGGAAAGACACCAGAGGAACACCTGTGGCTATCTAAAGCATTCTCGGGTCTCTACATCAATACTTCTCTCAGAGCACAGATAAAATGAAATCAAAGAAATACTCCAGTTGTGGACACGGGTACCCCAATAGATGTAAAGATCCTATCTGTTCACCCACTTGGGGAGCATGAAGATGACGTTGGTGCCAGTCTTTTATCAGCTTGAACAAGCCCCAAACACTCTAGCCCCTTCCCTCCCAATCACCCTTCAAAGGCCCTAGAGCCCTGGACTCCTCTGCTCACCCACCCATCCCTCTGATACTAACACACCACCTGGTCCAGAAGGAAAAGGAAACAGCCCACCCCTCACCTGGTCTCTGACTGCCAGTAAAGCAAATTTCCTTCTCACTTTGCCACAAGCAGAGATGAGAAAGGAGACATGAAAGTTTCCTTTCTTGTCTTTCCATTTTGCTCATTCACTATGACAACAGCAAATGACATCTCAAAATTGCCATCTGCCTCCTGCCTGCGCCATGCTCTCTTGCACAGATGGGACCAAGATCTGATTACAGGGATGTCAGATAGCTCATCCCAAGGAGCAGTTTAACAAAATGCAGTTGCTTTTCCCTCCAGGTGTCTACAAATCAGCTGGAAAGACCTCTTTATAAACCCATCAGATACTAAACATCCACATAAATGCTGCCCTTTTAAAAGAGATACCCTAATTCTAATAGTACCGATAACTGAAGACATTTCTGGAAGTTCTCTTTGGAACTGACTCCAGGGCTCTTTATGCACCATTCACTGAATGATTACCAAATGCCAAGCATCCTCCCATGCCAGGCACTGGGCTGTGACAATGATCAGAACAAAAGCCCTTCCCCCAGGAACATGTTGTCTAATGGAGGGAGCAAACATATAAGTAGGAAGATTACAACTCGATAAATCTTAGAACAAAGTTACACATGAGTACACGGGGTCTAGAGAAAGAAGCCACCCACTCTTACTGGAGGGCCTGGGGAAGCTGGCTTTGTGGAGGGCATGACCTTGACGGATGAATGGCTGAAGTGCAGGGAAGACACCTAAGCAAACAGACAGCAGGGCTAACGCCGGGAATCGTAAAGGGCTGTGGCATATTCAGGGTGCTAAGGAGGAGGCAAGACAGGATCAGACAGGGAACGACCCCACTAGCTATACGAAGTGCAGACTTACTCCTATGAGCAATGGGTAGCTAAAGGCAGGAACATAACAGCACTTTTTTTTCTTTAGAAAGGTAACTCTGGTGTTTTGCAAAGTAGACATTGGAGTAGAACTGGAGATCATAAGAACAGGATACTCTCTACCCAGAGATTATAATGCGCCAAACACTGATAGATCTTTATTTTTTTTTTTAAGATTTATTTATTTATTTATTTGACAGTGAGAGACACAGCGAGAGAAGGAACACAAGCAGGGGGAGTGGGAGAGGGAGAAGCAGGCTTCCCGCAGAGCAGGGAGCCCGATGCGGGGCTCGATCCCAGGACCCTGGGATCATGACCTGAGCCGAAGGCAGATGCTTAACGACTGAGCCACCCAGGCGCCCCACTGTTCTTTAAAGACCAGATCTCATTTGAAGAGCAGTAGTAAGAAGCAACAGCAAACATTTATTGAGTTATTACTATGGACCTGATAGTATGTACAGAACTTTAAAAGTATCATTTATTTAATCTTCAAAATAACTCCATGATAATAATTTCATAATACACGAAAGTCAGACCATCACGCTGTGTGCCTTAAACTTATGCAGTGATGTATGTCATTATTTCTCAATAAAACTGGGCAAAATATTAAAAATTAATTTAATTTAAAATAAGCCCATGAGCTCAATATTATTTTGTCCATTTTCTAGACCTGAGGCTTAGAGAAGTTACATAACCCACCAAAGGTCAGGCGGGTTGTAAGCAGTCAAGTCAGGATTCAAAACAAGAACCGTCAGACTCCAAGGCCAGGAGCTGGGGGCATTGTGGCAGTTATTCAGCAGAGAGGAGGACAGGTGGCCTCAGGGCCGGGTTTTAAAGCCAGAAGACAACTCTGAAGGAGAAGCAATAGGAGGTGAGTGATAAGGAACAGCTGGGAGTCTAGGCTGACTGCCAGCCTTTGAGCTCGAGAGTCTGAATGGATTGTCTTGTACTGTTCTCCTGAGAAACAGAGGCGGGAGTACGCCGGGTTTGGGAGAAAAAGACTAACGAACTGTGTTTAGAACATGCTAGATAGGAGTTCTCTACAGACTATCCAGGTGAAAAAAAATCATCTTGAAAGTCAGCAAGGTACGGATGGTCACTGATGCCAAGTGTGAGGTAACATCCAGGGAGGACACGGAGAGCAGCCCAACGGACATGGAACCCAAGGGGAAACCAGAGGACACAGAGTAGCAAAGAGGAAGGAGACTGGCTGGAGGTGGGATGCCTGGAGGCCAAGGAAAGAAGATGTTAAGGAGTGTCTGCTTCCTCCAAAGTTATCTCCCTTCCTTCCCACCAATTCCCCACAATGTCCTCACCTCTGACCCAAGAAGGACCTGGAGCAGGTCATCACAGCACCAGGGAAAACCTCCACCTCTTTATTCTCTCACATGGTTCTTGATCCCCAGAGCACCCAAAGTGTCATGATGAGATCTGATGTTTGACTTCGGGAAGAGGTAGGTAGAGCAGGCCTGTGCCTCGTCCAGTTAGAGGACACTTAGGCCTTTCTGGATTTTATTAAAAAAAAAAAAAAAAGGAGGCCCCCCCCACCCCATCCAATTGAACTCTCCATTAGATCTGGGGAAGGAAAGCTTCAGTGGGTAACAGAATACCTTTGCCTGCCTTTGGATTCTGTATGTGGTGCATGCATGTGTAGAAATGTATATAGGTATATATTTTAGTATTCTACTAGCATCCAGCATTTCTCTGTAGTACTTACCACATTTATAACTAAATAATTTTGTAATTGGTTATTCAGTGTCTGTCTCTCCTGAATGTAAGCTCTATGATAGCAAAGACCAGGTTTATCTCTCTATCCCCAGAACCTAAGAGAGTACCTTAGATTTTTTTTTTTAATATTTATTTGGTTGACTGACTGAATGGATGGACGAAGCTATGGTTAGGTGATCAACAATACTCAATGTTGTGGAAAGGGTAAGAGGACTGAGGATTGAAACTAGAACAGGAATTTGACAGGTGGTCACTAGGGACCTTGGTGAGAGAGCTACAGTGGACTGAAGGCTCTGGGTGCCTGACTGTTGGCTGGGAAGAGAAGTAGGGAGGGAGGGGACAGAGGCAGTGGACATACTCACAGGAGTCCCACTGTGGACAGGGACTGATTCAACAGACTCTCTTGGTTTCCAATTTTATATCCTTTTTCTCTATTTTTGGAAACAGTAAAAGATCATTGAGAGTAAGTTCAGGTGACCCAAGGAGATGGTCAAGCTCAGTGTCATTTCTAGTCAAACAGTATCTGATTTCAAAAGTTAAATGACTGATCTTCTAATATGACTCACAAACTACTTCCAAAGGCAATTCCCAAACACAGATTACAAAACAGATACATTTTGATAATGGCAGCATCACTGAAATCAAAGTGACTATTTGAATAAGTGCATGCTTGGCTGTAAGAGTTCTGCTATATTTCCTTTCCTGTTTTTAAGTCTTTAGAGTCACATACAATAGGTAGAAGTAGCAAGACTTAGAGGAGTGCTTTCCTAAAATGCATCAAACACCTAAGGATGACTTTTTGCAGCACATGAGTAAATTTATATATGTTTGCTTGTACTGACTTTTGCGTATATTAGAAAAAAATACACGTAGTCCATCCAACTCATAATATCACATATACTACACAAAGTGTCTTTGATCAATAAATTTAAATTATGATTTGAAATTTTAAATATAAGGTTTTTTAAAGAAACTTATTTAAAAAAATAATACTTTTGTTATGGCAAACATCATCCGGGTGGTATACAAATGACTCAAGCTTGGGAAACACTGGTAGGAGAGAGCGAGATCGTGGGCTTCCCAAGCATCCTGACCAAAGTTCAAGTCCTGTCTCTGCCATTTACTAGTTACTGAAGGACCCTGTGAAAGTTGCCTAACTTCTATGAGTCTCAGATTACTCACCTATGAAATGAAAACTAACAATACTTACTTTACAGTGTTTCTCTGAGGACAAAGCGAAACCAGGCATGCAGACCCCTAGCAGAGCCCTGGGCATGTAAGTTGGACACAGCCAACAGTAGCTATCGTGCTTGACAGTCCAAACATTATACACATATTCAAACACATCCCAGCCATGGGGCTATTTATATCGATGTGTCCATTTATTCCAGCTGACCTTTGTTTTCCATCTGAACTGCGTTATTGCTGCAAGTGAGCACTCACTAGGCTGAAAAGGAAGATCAGCAACAAAACCGAGGGGCAGAGGCTAAGAGGACGCCTGGAGGCATTTGGACTCGGGCCTGAATCGGGTTAGGGGGCTCAGAACGGATCCCAGCCCATAAACAGTCTGTGTTTCAATAGCAATGTTACCCTTCTAAGAGCGTGGCAAGAGTGAGCGTCAACCTTATAATTATTAACTCAGATTCTAAACATGAAAAGCCAAATGGCCCGAGCAGAAGGAAAGCCAGCGACAGTCTTATCAAGAATGAATCAGCCTCTTTGATCTTGAGGTAAACCAACCCACTAAACATCAAGCTTCCACCTGGGGTTTTTCCAGGCACATTTTAAAATGGTTGCCTAATTCTCAGCTGTCTGGAGGTTCCAGTCCAAACTGGCCTTAAAGAAAAAGAGGAAAAAAAAAAAAAAAAAGAGTCCCACCACCTTGCCAGCGTTCACACCCCATTAAAAACATACACAGATCCATGCTGCTAATCCAAAGAAACAGGGCCTCCGAAAATAAGTTCAACTAAAAACAATCCAGGTAAAGTGAAGATAAATTATTCCAACCAATTTGGAACTAAACAGTGAAGTATAAAGAGAGGGGGTAAACAGAATGGAAACAGCGAGCAGAGGTAGAAGGCATTCAGAGGTTAGGCAGAAAAGCAGACAGTGGGAGGAAAATCCAGACGTGGACATCGAAGAAGGTAATACACGGAGGGAGTTGGTACAGGAGAGGTGTGCAGAAATGAGTGGAAAACAGGGAAAAGAAGGCAGAAGGGAGTTCAGCTGGGCAACAGCCACGGTAATCAGCATCTCTCACTACATTTCCAGAAGCCTCTCCCCTACCTACCCACCAAGATCCTGCGCGCTGCACCATGAATTAATCAGCATGTAAATCACCCCCTTTATCTGCGGAAATTTAATTTAGCTGCCAATCTTGATTGACGGCACAGAGGCCTCCTCCCAGAAAGATCGCAGCTCTCAGGGAAAAATGCCTTTTCTCTCCTTAAATCAAAGCTTGCATAAACCCAAGGAAACAGCTGCAGCTGGAGCCACAGACTGTGTGAAAGGTGGCAGGCTGAGGACGGTAATTATAATTAGCAGTTACATAACATGTTTGTTCTTCAAAGTGCTCTACAAGAATCAGCTAATTAATAGCTTACTATGCCCCATGCGGATCCACTGTTTTTTCCTGTAGGGACTAATCCCTGTACCCACATTGAATTCTGAACGGAAGCAAAACAGCCTGAGTAATGAGGCAAATGGCTGAGGGTCCAGAAGCTATGCCCAGCTGGCTCATCAAGGGACTCCACAGGTATCTCAGGGCCAGGAACATTGCCCCAAATGTTTAATTCGGCATCCCGTGAGACAGACGCCTCACTGCCTCCAAATAATTCTTAAAGTGCTATTAGAGATACACTAACGGGAGGGGGACGGAGGGATGGTCCAATATGGCATTAGCTCTTCTCAATTTCCCTAATGAGACTGGGACTCTGGAGTCCTTGCTGTTAGTTACAGGACTGCCCTTGCTTCTCCGTGCAGGTAGGGTGAGTCAATGCGAACTCTCTAAGAACAGGTTGAACCAGATCTCTGGGCTCCCATCCAAGTCTACCCTTCTTCGTTTTCTAGGCCTCCAGTCTCTAGCCTCCATCCTCTGCCATTTATGGCGGAGATGACCCGATGGGGGAACTGCATGGCACAGATGGCTCCAGCAGCAGGGCCAAAGTCTTCGTCTAGTCCAGGGAAGTCCATGAACATCCCGAATTTGTGAAACCTTGTATGTACGTGTGTACGTGCATTTCTTTGGAGGAAAGTTGGTTTACCCTGCTGTCCAATGAATTCCAAGAAGGTAGTGTCTAGCAAAGTACCTCACCCCTAGCGTATGCTAAATAGATACCTATTAAATCAATTTGATAGATTACACCAAATTCCTATGCCCCAAATGGTTAGGAACAATTGCTCTATGGACAAATAATCACCAGCAGTCCCCATGTTTTGCTTGCTCTGGCTAGACTTCCCTATGGAAAACTCTGACCAGCAAAACCCAAGACATGCTATAACAATTCAGCGGCAAGTCAAACCGGAGACCCAGACCAAAGCTCCCTTGAGATTTCACTCCTCACAGATCTGTCGTTAGAGCCAACATCTAGAAACACATCATTCCCAGGGGTGCCTGGGTGGCTCAGTCGTTAAGCATCTGCCTTCGGCTCAGGTCATGATCCCAGGGTCCTGGGATCGAGCCCCGCATCGGGCTCCCTGCTCCGTGGGAAGCCTGCTTCTCCCTCTCCCACTTCCCCTGCTTGTGTTCCTGTTCTCACTATGTCTCTGTCAAATAAATAAATAAAATCTTAAAAAAAAAAAAAAGAAAGAAACACATTCCCAGAGCCATTCAACACTGTGTAACAACCATTTGTCACACCCCCTGTCCAGCCGTCACAAATAGAGTCACTGCCTTCTCCCACCTTGTCACTTGGAGGCAGTGGTGTGAACTAAAGAATGCGGAAGCGCATACAATAATTTCAGTAGAAGACCTAACGTGTACACGGTGCTTTAAACTTTTCAAAATTTCCCCACAGATGATCTCATTTGATTCCCTCTCAATAACTCTTGGAAATAGGAAAAGCAGACTTTACTTTCCCCCTTTTACAGATGAAGAAACTGAGGATCTGAGCAAATAATGCCTTTCCTGATGACACACAGCCCATATATGACACCTCTAGCCTTTGAACTGTTGTCTCAGAAGCCCTTTTCACCAGTAACTCCATTTCGGGGTATATCCCCAAAAGAATTGAAAGCAGGGTCTCAAAGAGATATCTGGATGCCTATGTTTACAGCAGCACTATTCACAGTAGCCAAAAGGTGCACGCAACGCAAGTGTCCATCAGTGGATGAATGGATCGACAAAACGTGGTAAATACATACGATAGAATGTTATGCAGCCTTTAAAAAGAAGGAAACCCCGCCCTTTGCAACAACATGGATGAACCCGCAGAACATTATGCTAGGTGAAGTAACCCAGTCACGGAAGGACAAATACTACCTGATTCTGCTTATATGAGGTATCTAAATTAGTCAGATCCACAGAAACAGAAAGTAAAATGGTGGTGCTGTGGGGAGCAGGAAGTGGGGTGTTACTGTTTAATGGGTACTGAGTTTCAGTTTTGCAACATGGAAAGGGTCTGGAGATGGGTTGCACAAGAGTGTGAATATACTTAATACTTAAAAATGGTTAAGGTGGGGGGCGCCTGGGTGGCTCAGTTGGTTAAGCGACTGCCTTCGGCTCAGGTCATGTTCCTGGAGTCCCGGGATCGAGTCCTGCATCGGGCTCCCTGCTTGGCAGGCAGTCTGCTTCTCCCTCTGACCCTCCCCACTCTCATGTGCTCTCTCTCTCATTCTCTCTCTGTCAAATAAATAAATAAAATCTTAAAAAATATATATATAAAAAAAATGGTTAAGGTGGTAAATTTATGCTGCGTGTGTTTAACCACAGTTAAAAATTTTTAAATAGGGGCGCCTGGGTGGCTCAGTCGTTAAGCGTCTGCCTTCAGCTCGGGTCATGATCCCAGGGTCCTGGGATCGAGCCCCACATCAGGCTCCCTGCTCATCGAGAAGCCTGCTTCTCCCTCTCCCACTCCCCCTGCTTGTGTTCCCTCTCTCGCTGTGTCTCTCTCTGTCAAATAGGTAGGATCTTAAAAAAAAAAAAAAAAATTTTAAATAAACATTAAAAACCTCCTTACCCATTACACCACCTTTTTTCTGAAAAGCTGCCAACGTGGGCTAAGTTAGGACTTTTCAGTATGCCCCCCTGAGAAAAATGATTCCTGGAGAAACATTTCTCAGCCAGCCAAGCAGAGGAGACAGGAATCACTGTGATTTAAGGTGAGTTGCAAAAGACGGATGCACGAGATTTTCTACGCAACTTATTTTCCCAATCCACCCTCCAAATCTCTGGGGTTCAGCTGACACACCTAAAGCCAGGTGCCCCCTCAGGTAAATGGCAGAGCCAGGCACAGTGCATAGGGAGCGATGGGTCAGCTGGAGGTCCCAGGCTCCTGCTGGCTGTTTGCTTCCAGGAAAAAAAAAAAGCCCCACCAAACAGAGTCCTTACCTGTGCATGTCAAAGTACTTTCTCTCCAAGTGCCTTTCTCCGTGCAAACAGAAGTGATCTTTCCTCCAGGGCTCTCAAAGCCCTCCTGACAGACATAGTGAGCCACACTGCCCGGGCTGGAGCTGTGATTCCCCACCAGCAGTGCATGCCGCACCTGCGGAGGATGGCCGCACTTGATCTCTGCAAGGGGAGGAAGCACAGCACTAGTTATGATGCCCAACTTCTATCCCTATAGTCCACATTTTAGGAAAAAACATTTAGTCATGCTAGAGTCCCCTCATATGGGAAAAGAGAAAACATGAACCCCATCAAATAATCCAGTTGCAGATATAGAAGACTGTTCGGAAGGAGAGAAAATAGACATGCCTGACTTCAGTGAAACTCACAAACGTGTACACACAGAAAATATTCCAATTATAAGACGATTTACATTATGGAGAATTCCTTGGTCAATGAAATAATCCATTCTGGGGTCCTTTTAAATATTAAGATTTTCAGGTGCCTTTTCCTATGTATCATGAGATCACAAACTCCTAATAAGTAGATGATAACACAATTACAGTTTTGTTCCCAACGGATTATTAAATGAAATAGATAGAAAATCTTTGAACTTTTTGGGGCACCTGGGTGGCTCAGTCGATTAAGCGGCTGCCTTAGGCTCGGGTTGTGATCCCAGAGTCCTGGGATCAAGTCCCACGTCGGGCTCCCTGCTCAGCAGGAGCCTGCTTCTCCTTCTCCCTCTGCCCCTCCCCCTCCCTCTGCCCCTCCCCCTGCTTGTACCCTCTCTCTGACAAATAAAATCTTAAAAAAAAAAAAACTTTGAACTTTTTAAAGCAAATTAATAGGGAAAGTATATACAGTCTAAACATTCACTTTATGTTTCTATAAAAGAAAAAATCAGCTGCATAGAGGGAGACAAGAATTATAAAATTGATATGAAATTTCTTCTCAGCAACTCTGACTACTAGAACATAGTAGAATATTTACAGAAGCTATCTGAAGGAAATGGATTATGATGCTACCATTTCAGACTCAGCCAAACTCTACCTCATGTAAGAGTAAAAGAAAGTCATCTTCAGATATTTTGCAATTTTTTTAAATTCATGTTTATCTTTTCTGAAAAAAAAACAAAACAAAACGAACTCCAGCCCAATAACAACAACACAGAAGAACCAGAATAAATATCCTAAGAAAAGTAGAGGACAGGTTTTAGAAGAAACACTAGCAAGCAATGAAATCAGCATGATGTGCAGGTTAAGTCTCCATAATCATTTAAATGTGACTGGAGAGCTTGATACAACTAGTAGTAAAGGATTCTGTAACAAAAAGTTGAACACTGTAAAAAAAATGAATAATTTGAAAATAAAATTCCAAATTATTTAAAAAACTCTGAGCAATGAGGCAAAGGGAAGAAACGAACATGTCAAATTCCTCATGTGGTCATGGGGAGTTCATAGATATAATTTTATTCAAGAACACATAATAAATCTAAAATAAGGAGGCCATAATCATTGCAAATGTAGCCAAGAGTCCCAGTTATACCCAAATACAGAGAAAAATATATATATATAACTTCTGGTATTCATTCTGATTTTTAGTTTTCTCCCCAATCTGTAGAAAGCCAAGAAAATCAGGCACTCTTGACATGCAGGCTTTTAAAATATAAGTGTGAGGTGTCTGGGTGGCACAGTACATTAAGCATCTGACTCTTGGTTTCAGCTCAGGTCCTGATCTCAGGGTCTTGAGATCAAGCCCTGTGTTGGGCTCTGTGCTCAGCATGGAGTCTGCTTGAGTTTCTCCTTCCCTCTCTCCCTCTGCCCCTCCTGCTTGTGCTCTCTCTCTCTCTCCCTCTCTCAAATAAATAAATAAATCTTTTTTAAAAAATAAAATGTAAGTGCATTTATTGAGATAAAGAACTCAAGATAGAGAAAATGGTATGATCTGTTCCCAACTCCCCATCAACCATTCTTGGCCTTAGAAACAGGTAGCTTCTCTTAAATGAGCTTCCGATAAAGAACTGGTGGATTTAATGGAACTGCACATGCCTCCATCCCACTATGAATGCTTGGTCTGTTGCAGAACCCCAGAGTTCTTTCCCTGAGGGAGGCCTCCCAGAGCAGGCTTTCATCTGTTGTCATCAACGTTCTCATGAGAACATTAATACAACAGCTCAACCTACCCGGCTCTGAGATTTTTTTTTTTTTTAAGATTTTTATTGATTTATTTGACAGAGAGAGAGCACAAGCAGGGGAAGCAGCAGAGGGGGAGGGAGAAGCAGGTTCTCCACTGAGCAGGGAGCCCAATGTGGGGCTTGATCCCAGGACCCTGAGATCATGACCTGAGCTGAAGGCAGACGCTTAACCAACTGAGTTACCCAGGCGCCTCAGCTCTGAGATTTTAAAAGAAGAGTTAGTTTCTGGTCAGTGCAGATTCACATCATGAGCAGTTACGAGACCAGAACCAGGTGGTCATTTCATAAATCCTCCAACCCTGCCCACCTCGCAAGTCCCATATTTGCCCACAGGGACTTGTTCCCTTTTCATACGTGTTTACCAGACACAACGGCTACCTCATCATGTTTTTCCCAGCATCAAACCTTTAGAGATTATCAACAGGCCCCAAACACTGCAAGACATGAGTATATTTGTGTGTACCTGGGCAACCAACCGAATAGGTGGTTAATGTTTCATAAGGCTGCCCAGTCATTGTTGACATCTAAAATAACTTCTAGTTAAAGCCAGGGCTCAGTTATAGCAGGAAATGGAACAGCAGTGAAGAGATTGAGGGTGTAGGTTTATGTAGGCTTATGGACCTTGAAGCTGGAATCCTAACAGCACACTGGAGAGGTTTCAGAAAGAACCCAGTGACAGACCACTGGATTAACGGAGAAGCACAGATTCTAAAGGTGTAAGAGTACAGAAGATACCTAAATTGGCTTCCATCCTCGGACGTGACCAAGAATAATGGAAGGCGTGTAAAAATATAAGATTTTTTTTTAAATTAATACCAAAAATATTAATTTGGGAGTTGATGAGAGATCAGTAGCTTGGTCTCTAGGGACTACGGTTCAGAGACTCAGGGAGCTGCCCACTAGTGGGCAACCATGACTCTGTGAGTTCCCATATCATAGCTACTCAAGTTGGATAGTTCCTTGGTGAGAGACAGACAGGATTCTAGCATGGCTTGGATTAAACCACGGTTCTAAACGGCAGCTGTACATCTGAATTGCCTAGGGAACTTGGAAAAAACACCCATGCTGATGCTCACAGCCTCTCCCCTTACCCAGAGATAATTCTTCCGAATCAGTAGTACTGAGTTGGGTTCTTGGCATCCACATTTCTACAAGGTTCCAAGTTTGATTTTTATGCACACACTCAGCTTAGAACCTAAATTAAATACTGGGAGGAATAGCTACCATTTATCATCACATGCTTGAGGGTTTAATGTCTTTCTATGAATACATTATGTCTTCCCAAATATATGGCCAGTTCGTAAAGGACAGAATCTTTATTTGATCATCTCCTGCACCCCCACAATGCCTACTTAAAATAATACGTTTTGCATAGTGAATACTCAATAAATAATTGTTCACTGATAGCTTGCTACTACTTTATCATTGTTCGAGATGTAATAAATGTAACTTTGATATGAATAACGGCCCCTGAGGAAGGAAAGAGGCATCAGTAAATTGTAAGTATAAATAATAAGACAGGTATACATTACATTTGTTATTCAACAGAAGTAACTCACACCTACCAAATACCAAGTAGATGAAAGAGGAGTAAAAGACAAAAACTAGTATCACTTTTGTACCAGGGAATTCTGGGAATGTTGTTCAAACCTCAATCATTTTAATCATAATAGCATTCATCAAAGTCCTACTAAACTTAAGTCTATTAGATACATACTATCTTATTTATTCATCAAAGAAAACCTTGCAAGGTAGATTTTTTTTTTCTCACGTAGTTTATAGATACGAATATGGAGCTTAAGAGTCCCTAAGAGCTCCTAAGAGCTTAAGTCACATTCAAAAGTCACACCACTAGTAAAAGATAGAGCCAGTACTCAAGCCATGGGATATATGACCCCAAAGTCCAGGTCCATTAAATCTGGGGAGTCTCACCATGAAGAGGTTCAGTCTAGGCCCTGATTAGGACTGAGCTTAGAAGTTAGCTAAAACCTCAGGAGAAAAGGTCACATAAAGGAGCATTCAAATCAGTATGGAAGAGTTCTTCAACAACTCCCTCTTCCGAATCTTGTCTCCCACAGCTTTCCCAGAGCAAGATAGCTGCTGGAAACAAGACTTAACCCTACATCTGTGTGATACCCTGAAGCCTTCTTAGTACTGACGTTTAAACCCGTAACATGGGGGTCTGGCCTGGGTCTGGCCTGGCACATGGCCCTGTCACAGATATTCCCATCATGCTTAAGAGAGATGGCAACCACTGCCACTTCTACTCAGACCAAAGGGTACCCAAGGAAGCAGGTGGCTACTATTAAAAAATACTCCAAAATCAATCCAATGGAGGCTGCAATAGGTGGTAATAAAAATATGGTTCTACACGAAATGCCCAAAGTTCTCACGATCACAAGGAAATAAGCCCTTTTAAAAGAGTTTATAACCAAAGGAAAGAAAAAAATAAGGAGCACAAATCTGCATTACATATGCATTCGGGGTGTTCATTTAAGCACACATTTCTCTGGCTAATTATATCACGAAGGAACAACGTTTGGATATGTATCAGCAATACAGTCAACTAATTATGAACACAGCTGGGATTTTTTAAAGATTTATAAGATTTATTTATTTATTTGAGAGAAAGAGGGCAAGCACACAAATGGGGGGAGGGGCAGAGGGAGAGAACCCCCAAGCAGACTCCCCGCAGAGCATGGAGCCCAATGGGGAGCTGGAGCTCACGTCCTGGGGAGCACGACCTGAGTGGAAACCAAGAGTCGGATGCTTAACCATCTAAGCCACCCAGGTGCCCCCATGGCGGGGAATTTTTTCTTACCATCCTACTATCTGTGATGTTATTCAAATAATCAACTTCAAAACAGGTCTCCCCGGGGGGGGGGGGGGAGGAGAGGCGGGGGGGGGAATGTGCTGTGCGAGTTTCAAGGACCACATTCATACTGTAACTCTGTTTCATATCTTGAAGGTAAAAATGTTTATCCACACT